CTTGAAGTATGTTTATAACCCTTGACCCAAGCAAAATAACTTTTTAAAATCCATTTCCTTGCATCCTCTTTCCCAACCCCCCCCCCCCCCCCCCCCCCATCATCATTTAAATGAAAGAATAGGAAGAAGATTGACATAATTCCAAGCCACGGAAAAGCATGGTTTAAACTTACATGTCAACTTCATTGAAAGTTGTCAACAATGCAAATGTGTTTTGTGAGTCTTTCAAACGAGTAGCGACTCTTTTCCTGAGCCTGGTCATAGGAACCTAAATATTGCAACAAATTTGAGATTTGGGGTTCAATATGTTTTGTCAAAAATTAAAATAAATTGGAATGAAAACAGAGTTTTAGGACTAACTCGTCTTTCTCTATCCTTCGGAGGAAGCTGAGGTTCAGAAGCAGAGACTTTAGGGGGAGGAGCTTTAGTTTCCTTAGGTGTTTCCTTGACAGGAGAAGCTTCAACTTTTGGCTTTGTTTTCTCTTTCTGTTCAACAACTGAAGAAGATGGGGGTGGGGTATCTTTTCCTGATGGCTTCTCAGATGGAGCAACATGATCCACACCTTCAGCAGATTTTGAAATGATTGCAACCTTGGTACCTGGTTCTACAGTTTGCCCTTCCTTGGCTACAAACTAATTAAATAAAAGAAAATGAATCAGGAAAAAAAATCCAACTCTAGAACCCAAAAGGTGATGAATAAAGCAAGTAAATAGTAATCAGATTACATATAACATTGCAAGCTTATACATATAAGATAAGATTGCATTTTACCTCCTGTATTACACCAGCTTCAGGACTAGTAACATCAATTGTGACCTGAAGGAGAAAACAGAAACAACCCAAATTAATTGACTGAGAAGTCAAATGGCTTGACCATAAACAAACCTCTGAAGTGCAGCATATAGAGTTAGGGACGTACTTTATCCGTTTCAACCTGAGCAATAGGCTCATCAACTTCTACTCTATCACCAGGTTCTGATCATACAGAATGAAGAGGAGATAGAAGTGGTAAGCATTTGAGAAGTATCAAATCAGGCAAAGCACTCTAGCACGAAAACAATTACGTAAAAGAAGTGAACCTACTCTTCAGGAATGTAGCTAGTGTGCCATCACTAATGGATTCACCCATAAATGGAACAACAGCATCAACCAGATCACCTTAAGCACAATGGCAGACAAAAAAAGAAGACTTAAAAAGAAAAACATCACAGAATGCCAAACTAATGGCATCGGTAGGAGATGAACAACTACGACATAACAAAAACATTTTCAGTTTTGAGCTAAATACAGCAAGGTAACAGAACAGTCCACAGAGAATCTTGTTTTCTCACTATCATCATATTATCAAAACGTAGATCACACGTGGATCATCCAATAAATGGAAGACAAAAAAGAAGACATGAAACGAGAGAGAGAAAAAGTCCCAAAATAGTTTGGGGTAAAATATACGGCATAAAACTATGACATAACATAAACATTTTCAATTTTGAACTAAATACAGCAAGGTAACAGAATACTCCACAGAGAATCTTGTTTTCTCACTATCATAATATCAAAACGTATATCATCTGGATCATCAAGATTTGTAAAATTTGACTAGTTGAAGAATGTACACCTGTAAAAAGGTATTTCACAACAGGCAATTTTTTTATTTTGAGAAGTGCACTTCTAGATGCTAATCGGCAATGATGCTATTAAGAGAGAAATATCCCATTGATTTCGAAATGCATGTCTTCCAAGTTCCATTGCACAAAACTGGGTAAACAGACCAACACGATGGGTAATATGTAGAAAAATTTCACGCAAACAAAAAAAAAACTACGGGAAGCCAATGAAAATGAAATGGAAAAGGTGGGAAAAGATGCATCCCAATACATAATTTCCATCCTCAACCGCCTATATATGGTCTTAGACTCTTAGCACCAAATGAATACAAACTATTGGAGACCCTCAATATAGACATTTTGTAATGATGTGACAACCACGTGCTGTTAAGAGTGAAGACAACAGCGAATAGTTGAGTAATAATAAGATATCATACCACCACTTGAACAATATTCCCTGCTGAAATTCTGTAGTTTACATGGATGAAAATTAGGTGCAACTCTGCTGCAGGCAACACATAGAATCAGACGCATTGCAGGAAAATTCTGAAAATCACCTACTTATACCTTGCCATAATGCCGAAAAATGTTGTACAGGTTGGGCTAAGCCTCAGATATATTTCAATGGAAATATCATATTGAGCATATTCTGTTAAGTTTCCGGATAGTGCACAGTATTCTTTAAGAATTTGTGCAACGATGCAAGTACAGAAATAGAGGTATTTTAATAAATAGATTTAATTGGGATACAAAACATGAGAATGGATCACCAACCTTTGTGCTCTCAAATTCATTGAGTGCCCTGCACCACTTAAAGATTCTGAAATTAGTACATCTTTAAGAGTAAATTAGCAGGAGTGCGTTTACTTATCAATATTGTATTTTACCGGGTAAGACATGGTGGCAGAAATTTTGAGCCTGAACACATCCTCTTGGGTGAATCAAGATCTGTTCAAATTTTTGCATATATTACATATTCTGTTAATATATTACTATATTACAAAAACTTAGCAACAGCAATAGCTCCAAGCCTCCAACCAATAAGAATCCACCCATTAATAACATTTGAAAACATACTGGAATGAAATGTCACAGAAAATTTTCAGTTTGGATAACATGTAAAAAGTGTTTCATTGATTCCATAGTTCACAGATGTGAGTGCTTCTGAAATATATTCTACTCGGATGAATTCTTGATATCACCAGGCACCACATTAAAAAAATGTTAAATGTAACATTTATCTTCCCATAGAAACACACTTCTGTAACTATAAAGTTCAACTTTGAAATATCATGTAAGTTAGAAATATCCAACACCCTATTACGGAGTGATATAGAAACATCCACATACCACAGTTATCCATTTATAGTTAAAACTTCAATCCTATTTTTTCCCTTTGATACTTAGAAGCTTTTAAATGCTTAACTTTACAAACCCCTTTTAAAATACTACGTAATAGCTTTTGCTTTTGAACTTGATACTATGAGCTTTTAACCGCAGAGTCTCAAACAAAGTTTTAGTTATAAAATATACAACTTTATTCTTTTAGACACTAAAAAAAGTATCGACTTCCTAGTGGATGTTCAATATGATATATCAAGAGTATACAAAACCAAGTATGAGTTCACATGCCATTTAAATCAATCTAAAACTTATAAGCGTGCAGCGTACTAAATCCAAATATTTGCAAACTAGTATACCAATAAAAGATTGAATGACTAAATTTGACTTTACCGTGAAGTGCACTGTTCTACGCTGTTTGAACATTGTTTGGCACTGTTTTGATGTAGATAATTTGAAAGAAATGTTTGAAAGTGGAACATTGTTTGACACTGTTTTGACGTAGATAATTTGTAAAGGTGGAACTTGTTTCAGAAACGGGGGGAGTAACTCATAAATAATTTGTTAGAATTTAATGAATCATCAATGGATAAAGAGCAATTCAAACAAATAGTCATACCTCTTCAGCAACAATTGAGCATGCTTTGGGACTCAATAATCCAGGTTGAATTGCACGCAACGATTTCCCTAAACTCTGCTCCAGAAAATTCAAACTAACGAAAATAAAAGGCAAGGAACTAATCGTGCGTTCAACACATGAGCACATATATATTCATATATACTACTAACCGAAGCAGATGATGCGCCGGAAGCAGCTTTGTGCCGTAAAATGCCCAACATCGCGGCTTAGATCTCTAATATCCTGCTAAAACGATCCTAAATATTAACAATCAGGTCAAAGTTTACTTTTAGAATTTTTTGAGTTTTGTCAGAGATACTCCTTCCGTCCCTTATAACTTTGACAACTTTCCTTTTTTGGATGTCCCATTAACTTTGTCACTTTCTCTTTTAAGTAAAGAATTTGTGGTTTCAGTTAGTTCTCTCTCCTCTACACAAACCTCAACCACACAGTTTTTACTTTATTAATCCCCGTGCCGGTCAAACTTGACAAAGTTATTAGGGACGGAGAGAGTATTTCTAAACTTATTTCCAAAATAGGGTATGATTAAACTTATTTTTCAAAGGGTGGTTTTTTCATGTCATTGTGCATCCGAATTATATTCAATTTCCACCTCATTTACATGTCACATCATATGTCCATATTATCTCATTTACATGTATCTTTTTAAAGTGCACAACAATACAACATAGACACACAAATTTTAAAATACATAGGGTTTACTTTATTATATTATATAGATGTCGGGACCATATATTCAATATTGAGCCTAACCCGTAAATTTATGTTTCGGCATATGACATTATGTTAGCCTATTGATTCTCTTTGTATACATAGAGTGCATCGTGAATCCTTCTTTAACATTCCCACATGATTTTAATATGTAATATTCTTCTTTTTAGCTCATAATCTCTTTAAAATGTCTCTGGTCGAGTTTTTTTTCTGGGGAGAGGTATTTTCTAAACTTATTTCCCAAAGTATGGTACTTTTAAATTTATTTCCCAAAGTATTTCAAATTTTACTCCTTGTTCATATATAGCATTATCTAAAGTGCACAACAATACAACATAGACACACTGATAGAGTATATCTAGAGAGAAGTGAGAGCTAGAGAGAGAAGTGCAATAATATGCTTCAATAGAATGATTTCGTAACCCCTATAACTACTCCCAAAGGGAGTATTTATAGAGAAAATTAGGGTTGGGCTCCCAAGCCTTGGGCTTGGGAGGCCCATTTACAACTGGACCGCTACTGGGCCGAATACAAAGCCACTAATGGGCTGTACAAATGAGTAAGTATAAAATCCGATTCTGTGAGGTCTTCGTGGCCGACGAGGGCATGGCCGACGAGGGCACGGCCGACGAGGGCACCCGGGTTCTTTGGACTCAGGACCATAATCCGAGTTGGCCCCTTTTCGGCCGACGGGGGCGTCCTGACCGACGAGGGCGCCACTCTGTGCCTTGTGCTTTCTGTTCTTCCGAGTATGTGGGTCCGGGGGCTCAGACCCATATACTCCATCAGGAGTCCCCCACTCTCTAAGCTGAGACGTAGACGAAGTGAAGGAGAGTAGATTCCTGTGCTTTGTTGCCCTTGGCCGTTACCTGTTCCTCGTTGTGGACAGGGAGGCCGTTGTTTACTTGATGTCTTCGTTTTGGGACGATGAGTGTCCTTCTTTCAATGGTGGCCGTTGAAGGCATGTTTTGCTCGGGCGCTGATGGTTGAAGTTTGTATTTGGGCCGATGAGGCCACTGAAGTTATTCCTTGCTTGGAGGACGATGGCGTCCTTTCCTTTGGGTGGCCGATGAGGGTGTTTGTGCGCTCCTTTTGGCCGTCGTTGATTAGCTTTCGTGTTCTTGGCCGAAGGGCCCGTCAAGATTAATCGTTGGCGGAGGACGATGAGTGTCCTTGCCTCTAGTGGCTTGTTGGCCGTTGCTGATGACGTTATGGGCCTTTGGCCGATGAAGTTCCGTTGTGCTGTATGGATGATGTGGCCATGCTTTGTGGTCACCTTGTTTGCATTTTCTTTCGTTTTGTTGAGGCCGGTGTAGTCCCCCAGTCCCCCACTGCTTCAGGCCGAAGAGTGTGAGGGGTGAAGGAGTTGCTTGAGTCCCCGGCCGAAGCGGCCTCTCCGTAGTCCCCCTGAATCCAACTCTCATGGCGATTTTCTGGCCAAGGTAACCCTGTGGGAGAACCCTTGTGCGCAGATCGCTTGTAGAGAGTTATCATCAAGGGTCATGACGAGGAGCCGATGGCTTGTGGGCTCTTGGGTTCTTTGATCTTGTGGCCGTTACGTTCCCGGCCGTTGCCGTCTCCTTATTGTTTGGCAGTTGTGATCTTGGCGGGCAAGTGGGACGTTGTGGGCGCTTGCTAGTACTTGTAAAGCCGGCAAGTGTGTGGGCCGTTGGAGTCTGGTTTGCCAGTGGGCTGTTGATGTGGGTTTAGCCCGTTGGTGACGTGGTGGTCCCCCATTGGTGGCCGTTGGTGTGGCCATTGGGGGGGTGCCACGTGTAGTGACCGTTGGGTGGGGGGTTCTATAAATACCCCCCCCCCCCCCCCTCTGACGAGAAAACGTATTTGCATTCTGAATTTGTCGAAGTGCTGGCCGATTTTCTAGAGAGATAAACTCCCAAGCCTGTTCTTCGCGTTCTTCGTTGTTCAAGGTTAGTGTTCATCGCGATCTTCCTCACTTTTCATACTTTGCTTCCTAGGTCGTTGATCTAGTGTTAGGCGTTTGAACACCCTTAGATCTTAAGTTAGTCTCCTTAGGCCTGTAGTAGTAGTTATGAAGAGCTTGAACGACGACTACTACCCCTACGACGACCAGCCCTCCACGAGGTCGCTTGACTACGAGGTGCTTGAGGAGTTTGAAGAGGAGATAGAGCGTTTAAGTCCCTACAAATCTGGAGAGCCGGTGGCCGAGGAAGGTGAGGACGAGGAGTCCGCCTCCTCTTCAAAGGGTAAGGACGTAGGTGCGTCCCGAGTGGTGGACGGGGCATCCACTTCTGCTGTCATTCCGTGCCCGAGGCCGGTGTCTGCCGTGAAGGGAGCAACAAAGCCGAAGAGAGTGAGGAGACCGAAGAGTGGGCCCGGTATCTCTTATCTGGATCTCACCAACATCTACCTGATCAAGCCGGAGAGCAGTGCGGCCGACTATCTTGTTGCCCAGATGTACGTGGGGCCGTTCGGGCGGGTTAGGGCACCCAGGCCGACGGACCATGTTCTTCTTCCGCCACCGGGATACTTTGGAGTATACCCGATGAGTTTTGCTAAGGGGTTGAGGTTCCCCCTTCACCTTTTCATTACCGAGTACCTGGATATGGTAGGGCTTCCTCTGGCCCTGTTGACGCCGAACAGCTACTCCCTGATGGTGGGGTTTTTGCTCCGGTGTGAGGAGTTGGGCTACAGGCCGACAACGGCCTTATTCATGAATTTGTACCAGATCGGCCGAGGAAGCCACAAGAACTGTGCGGCCTATGCTACTCTTCAACAGCTGCCGAAGAAGAGGAGTTTCACGGATTTGCCTACGTCCATTCATGGGTGGAAGAACAAGTTCGTGTTTGTGTCCATTGGTGAGAGTGGCACTGAGTTTCCCTCCCTCAGCCACACCGGGAGGTTTAACCTGCATGACCCGCCGAAGAGCTCTATTTTGGACGCTCAGGTGGAGGCTTTCTTGGAAGGGGGGCCGAGGAGCGTGAAGGATTACATTATTGAATACAAGATGGCCGCCCTCGGCTTCGTGAGGTACTATGTCTATGGTGACAAGGAGGATGACCTCCAACTCTGGCCGAGGATGACCACCACCTTTGAGGAGGCTGACGGCCCGGACTTGGGCATTCCTGCTGAGGCCGATGGTAATTCTTTCTTCGGCTTTCTGTCTTTATGTTTTGTCCTTTGCCTTACTAATCTGTTTGTGTTTTTCCTTTGTAGATTTTATCATGGACCGTCGTTCCATGATGGCTATTGCCAAGGCCAAAGCGGCCGAGGAGATTGCTGCTAAGGCGGCCGAGGCGGCCAGACGTGCCGCGGCCGGTGGGAGCGGGGCTACTGCTGATGCGGCCCCAAAGCCTGCTCCATCGAAGAAGAAAAGGCCGGCCACTGACGGCCAAAAAAAGTTAACTGAGGCCGGCGTGAGCGTCTCGAAGAAGACGAAGAGGGCTCCTTCCCCTTCTCCGGCCACTGAAGCCGGTACTCTGGTTGTCCCCAGCGTGGACGACAGTGGTTCTGTCGTGGACCTTACTGCTGCTGGTGATGCTGCTCCATCACTGCCTCTCGTCCAGGAGCCACGGACGAAGAGGGCCGGCAAGGAGATTGCCGGTGCCACCTACCAGAAGGTGGTAGAATACCCCGTCGGCGGGGGCGTGTTTAATGATCTCGTCCCTGGCCACGTCGTCCTGGCCCAGGCCATGCCGGCCAAAGATCGGGCTTACTTGAAGAAGCTTGGGGACGAGAAGATTTACGAGGGCGGTATGGACCTCTTCGTCCAAGTAAGTTACTGTCCTTATTTTTTTTTCTCTTCGTCTGTGTAGAGTCTTTTTCCTGACCTCTGTTTTCCTTCTGCAGAGTGCCTTTATGCTTATGGAAAGCCATAAGAGGCAGTATTGGGAGATAGCTCGCTTGAAAGGGCTGGAGCATAAGGCTGCCTCGGCCGACGAGGCGGTAGCTTGCCTTGATCGGCTCCGGGAGGATGCCAAGGCGTTGCAGGCAAAGGCTGATGAAGCCGCCGCGGCCAGGGACGATGCCCTGGCCAAGCTCGAGGAGAGCAAAAGGGAGCTCGAGGAGTCCCAAAGGGCGCTGGAGGCCGAGAGGCGCAAGAGCGAGGAGGCCGTCAAGGCGAAAGCTGAGGCCGAGGCCGCCGCCGTGAGGGCTGCTGATGAGGCCGTTGAGAAGTTCCTGGCCGAGGGGTGGAAGGCCGATGAGAGGCTTCCCTGGTGCTACGAAGTGGTGGCCGCCAGGCTTGAGAGTTGGGGGATGAACTCCCCCGCCGGCCGGGAGTATTTCAGCCGGGAGATGTCCGTTTATTACAACCTGGGCCAGGAGCGGATGCAAAGGCTCCTGTGTCGGCGGCTATCCCGGGCGTTGAAGGCTATCTGGGTGGGCTAGACGGAACCTGAAGCTGCCAAAGCTGATGAAGGATCCAGAAGAGCAGGCCAAGCTTCCGCTGTCGGAGCGAGAGTCCCCCATAGAAAGCTCCGGCCTCGGCGAGCCGGACTACACTGAATTCGACTTCCTGGACGATGCCACCA